TATGCAGAAATAGAAGTACAATGATGTACACCTGAAATTTTTACAATGTTATAAACCAATGTTACTGCAATAAACAAAAAATTAAAAAATAAATAAATAAATAAATAAATAAATAAATATTGTAAAAATTGGAAAAAAAAATAATTTTTGATAATACCGTCCAGATGTAGATAAATATCACACATATATAGTGTGTATACATATATATAGACAGACACAAACAGAGATCTTATAGCTTTTATTTAAAAAATTTCAGCCATGAATCAGGTACCACACAAAACTCACTAATTTATAAATAAATGTGTCTCTAGCAGATGGAACAAGTTAAAGTGAAAGACTTTTAAGATTTATTTTTGCTTTAGACAAAGAGGTTGTGATTTGTCTAGATTTTGGGTGAGAGAGCTTTTCTAGCAGCCTGCCTTTAAAACAAAACACTTTTCTCTCTCTTTTTTTTTTTTATTTTTAGCTTCAGGCTTTACTGATTGAGCTAGCCAGGTTTAGTCTCAAGCACTTTGGGCTGTTAGCTCCTAAGATGTTTACATTCTAAAGACTTTTGGTAAAATTTACAACTTCAAAGGACAGAGAAAAAAATGTAAGTTGTCTTTTTTCCCTAGGAGTTTTCAGGTAATCACAATTTAAAACTTTCCTTCGGTCTCAGAACTGAACGCAGTTGGAGGAGAAGCAGAGGCAGTGACAGTAGTGAAAATAGTCTCAGCCGACTTTTCTAGCTTTGCAAGCCTTGGAGAGAGATCAGAATTGGCCTCAGTAAGTTTAGAATTAACAGCTTTCAGGGAAAAAATATTTTTGGTGTTTTGTTTAGAGGCCTCAAGGTACCAACTGAAATAAATGTCCCATCCAATTTGTTTGATTTGATAACTTTTTTCCCCAATTGAGTGTACAAGTAAACCAACTTAGGAATTTCAAAGGAGCTCCATTTAGGCCAATAGAGCCCTATAGCGTCTCTAGTAATGTGAGTCTAGCAGGAAAAAATCTACATGCAGAAGGTCCATATTCTTTAAACATAAAACCAGCAGGAGTCCCATAAGGCAGGCTGTCCTTTGACATTCCCCTTAGAAAATGGACTTCTCGTTCGTAAGTACTTACCAAGAAAACAAAAGCCTAACAAAGGAACAAAACAAACAGAAGTTCCCTAACAAAGCCGACAGTGAAAGGATGGCCAGAACCAATATCAAAGGACACCCAAATAAAGAGTTTGAACCTCAACTGAGGATGGGTGGTTTAGGCCCAGGAAGACTTACCACCAGGAGCCAGAGCCATCAGGAGGAAATAATAGAGTACAAAATACTCTTTGCAGTCACCTTGCTCATTTTGTGTAGTGGCATTGGAATCAGAGGTCAGTCACTCTAGATCCCACTTCTGACACCACGTAATACCAATGAATAAGTGGCATGAACTGCAAAAATTTATTTTGGTTCTCAAGAATGGTAATTTGGGAGTCATAGATTCAAGTAGAAGCTCAAATGTGCTGCAAAGTAGACAAAGGAGATAGGGGTTTATAAAGACAAAGGAAACAGGTTTACAAAGGTTGTGTTGAACAGTTAATGACTGGTTCTGGCAAGGAGCCAGCTGACTTGGCAATACATGATTGGTCCTTAAATTGTATCTAGGCAGATTGTTTGTTCTTAGAATGAGGAAATTCTCCAAGATGTGACATCTGGTGTCAGGCAAAGTTCAAAAGTTCAGTTAACATCTCGTGGTGGACGTGGTATGCATGCATAAGCCCCACTTTTTTAATGGCCTCATGGCTCCATTTTAGAATCCTTGATACATGTTACTCCATTTTGTTTTTGTCATCCACAATAGCTAGTATGATTGGATACATTCTTAAATCAGAATAGAGAAATTTGCAGTTGAAGACACCAGGAGTAAGCAGGAGATTTCAATCAAGAGAGTTCCAGATAAGCTCCAGATGAGTTCAGTATCAACAAATACCAATTGCAGAAACAGCAATCATTAAAGTGTTAATTAAAGAATTCCATTCTGAGTAGTTGCTGTCCTTCTCCTCTTTTGTGTATTGGTTTAATATGACTTCAAATCCACTTATTTATGGCTTAAGTAAAGTTTTTTTCCCACTTGTTTATGGCTTAAATAAAGTTGTTTTAATCTAAAAGTAAAGTTATCTGTGTTAGTACGTCCTCATTTTATTTCTGTGATTGTTGATAAGCACTCAATAGCTCAGCAGATGACAGGCACTGCTGGGGGCTTCTGATAAGAACATGTGGAGAAGCAACTATGGCTCAGGGACATTTAACCTTTAAATACCAAGAGGTTTTTTTTTTTTTTTTTTTGGGAGGAAGATTAGCCCTGAGCTAATCCCCCTCTTTTTGCTGAGGAAGACCGGCTCTGAGCTAAAATCTATTGCCAATCCTCCTCCTTTTTTTTTCCCCAAAGCCCCAGTAGGTAGTTGTATGTCATAATTGCACATCCTTCTAGTTGCTGTATGTGGGATGCGGCCTCAGCATGGCTGCAGAAGTGGTGCATCGGGTGTGCACCCAGGATCCGAACCCGGGCCGCCAGTAGCAGAGCGTGCACACTTAACGGCTAAGCCAGGGGGCCGGCCCAAAATACCAAGAGTTTGTGAGGACTTACCAAGAGTTTTCAGTCTGGGCAAGGAAACTCTTTGCTGACCTAAATGGCTCTCTGAAGACCCTTAGGGCATTAGCTCCTGCCAATGTAAAGGTGACTCTCTTACTGGTGGTGGCAAAAGCCATGCAGTGGCCTCTTAAAGAAGATCATCCTGCCCATCGACACTGGTGCTCTCATTCCTCAGCAACGTGGTCTGGCAACAGGGGACTTTTATTTTCACTGGCAGCTGGACGTCAGCTCTTGGTTGGCCAAGCTGTCTCTCCTGAGAACCAACCTCATAGGAAAGGTACATCTCAACTAATTTTGGATTTTATTTCTTTTATCTCCTTTTGTTTGGAACAATAGTGGGATTAATTTATCATTGGTTTGGACTATGTTATTTCTTCGTTGGCTTTTTAAGAGACATTATCCTGCATGCTATTGGCTTGTGAAATTTTTATAATTCCTGCAGTAAACCTGTGTTAAAT